CTCCGCCTCCCAGATTCAAGCAATTCTCTTGCCTCAGCCTCCCGAGTCCTGAGTAGCTGAGATTAGAGGCTCCCGCCACCACACCCAGCTAATTTTTGTATTTTTAGTAGAGACGGAGTTTCACCATGTTGGCCAGGCTGTTCTCAAACTCCTAACCTCGTGACTACCCACCTTAGCCTCCCAAAGTGCGGGATTACAGGCATGAGCCACCACGCCTGGCCTCATTTGTTTTCTAATGTCAACACAAAACATCCTTCTCTTGTCAAACGCTGAGTACAAGACTTTCATTTTGAATTTGCTTTAAAAAATGTTGTTTCAATTACAATTATTAAGGCTAATTAGTGATCTTTAAATGTAGTGGTTTGAGTGATCATTATTTTTCTCTAAATTTTAAAATACTGTAGCATTAAATCCTGTGTAATTTAAGTAAACATTGCATTTATTCATTTGGATCACTATGGTGGTAGTACTAATGGCTCCATCAGCCAAAAGCCTAAAGTTGCTTAGCCCTTATGATAAAGCATAATTTCAAACGAGAGAATTCTGATCCACAGCCTGGAATGTTTTCCTTTAGGCCACTGTGAAAGCTGCAGTGTAAATTATTTTTGCTGATTGATAAGCTGCATATTCTGTGTTGCATTCAGTGATTTATTTCTTCATTTTGTGTGCGTATGCTCATATAAATACACATAAATGTTCACATATACACACACGTCCCGTGGATTCTTAGATGGATAAAAATGCATACATAAAACAAACCGGCCGGGTGCAGTGGCTCAGCTCATGCCTGTAATCCTAGCACTTTTTGAGAGGCTGAGACGAGTGGATCACTTGAGGTCAGGAGTTCGAAACCAGCCTGGCCAGCGTGGCAAAACCCCGTCTCTACTAAAAATACAAAAATTAGCCAGGCATGGTGGCACGTGCCTGTAGCCCTAGCTACTAGGGAGGCTGAGGCATGAGAATCACTTGAACCTGGGAGTTGGAGGTTGCAGTGAGCCAAGATGGCACCACTGCCCTCCAGCCTGGGTGACCGAGCAAGACTCTGCCTCAAAAAAACTAACAACCAACCAAAAAAAAAAAAAAAAACCCCATAAACTTAGGCAGAGCATAGTGGCTCACACCTGTAATCCCAGCACTTTGGGAGGCCAATGCAGGCAGATCACTTGAGTCTAGGAGTTCGAGACCAGCCTGAGCAATGTGGTAAAACCCCGTCTCTACAAAAAATACAAAAAAAAAAAAAAAGAAAAAGAAAAGCTGGGTTGGTGGTGCACGCCTGTATCCAGATACTTAGGAAGCTGAGGTGGGAGAATTGCTTGAGTCTGGGAGGTGGAGGTTGCAGTGAGCCAAGACTGTGCCACTGCACCCCAGCCTAGGTGACAGAGTGAAACCCCATCTCAAGTAAATAAATAAAACATAAACTTTTTTGTCCCTTTTACTATTGGACTCATAGTATTGGGCCCCTTGCCCCATAAATCTTTTAATTGGCAAATTTTGTTTTGCTGTGAATTTTCTCATATCCCAGAAAGTAGCTTAATTAGTAATTCCTTTGCTTGTTAGGGCTACTTTCTTTAAGATGCTATTTCTATCTGCTTAAAAGATTGTTTTAGGTCACATACCCTTTAAGAATACTAACAGGTAAGTCCAGAGCTCGTAGAGTCCAGTCTTAACTCTCATGTGCAGCTTCCTAAGAAACAGTACCAAAGGCACCCCAAAGAAATTTGAGTGAGATGGAATGTTAATGGTTTGGAAGGTTCTGGATTTAAAAATAATGCCTTTGGAAAAGTTGTCCCATTATTTTTCAACCTTTTGAAAACACATGAATTTGTTAGTTTTTTCCCTCCAAATTTATTTTGAAAACTTTTTAATTTGAATTAATGAATTTATTTTAGACAGAGTTGCTCTGTCACCCAGGCTGAAGTGCAGTTGTGCAATCATGGCTCACTGTAGCCTCGATCCCCCAGGCTCAAGTGGTCTTCCTGCCTCAACCTCCTGAATAGCTGGGACTGCGGACGTGTACCACCCACCTGGCTAATTTTTAAATTTTTTTGTAGAGACAGAATCCCACTATATTGCCCAGGCTGGAATCTTTTTATTATTACAATTTATTTATTTATTTTTTTGAGATGGAGTTTCACTCTGTTGCCAGGCGCAACAGAGTGCAACGGAGTGCAGTGACGCAATGTGGGCTAACTGCAACCTCCACCTCCCGGGTTCAAGTGATTCTCCGCCTCAGCCTCCCAAGTAGCTGGGATTACAGGCATGTGCCACCATGCCTGGTTAATTTTGTATTTTTAGTAGAGATGGGGTTTCACCATGTTGGTCAGGCTGTTCTCAAACTCCTGACCTCAAGTGATCTCCCTGCCTCAGCCTCCCAAAGTGCTGGGATTATAGGCATGAGCCACTGCACCCAGCCCTGAAAACTTTTTAAACAGTAAAGTTGTAAGCCTGGTACAAGGGTCTGGGCCCAGTGTCTCTTGCCTGTAATTCCAGCAGTTTAGGAGGCCAAGGCGGGCAGATCTCTTGAGGTCAGGAGTTCGAGACCAGCCCAGCCAACATGGTGAAACCCTGTAACTAAAAATAGAAAATTTAGCTGGGTATGGTGGTGTGTGCCTATAATTTCAGCTACTTGGGAGGATGAGACATGAGAATTGCTTAAACCCAGGAGGCAGAGGTTTTAGTGAGCTGAGATGGCACCATCACCCTCCAGCCTGAGGGACAAAGCGAGACTCTGTCTTAAAAAAAAAAAACAAAAAGACTGATACAAGGAACACCATACACCCTTAGTTTGGATTTACTGGGTTGTCAACACTTTGCACCTCTCTTCCTCTGTCTCTATATGTATAACCAGCTCCCCACTCCAAACCACTTGAGAGTAAAGTTACAGACTCCATGGTACGTCACCTCGAATCCTTCAGCCTGTGGCTCTTGAGAAGAAGAACATTCTCCTGTATAACCACAATACAATTCCCTTCCTCAGGACATTTCGTGTTGATACGGTACTATTAGCTGTTACACAGTCCATGTTTAGATGTCCCAGTTCTTCCCATAGTGTCCTTTATAGCTTGTGGAAATAGGAGAACACGGGCATCCAGGATTTATCTGAGGGTCATGCACTGTGTTCAGTCAGGCCTAAAGGGTGTCCTTTGATATAGATGGTTTGTCCAGCCTTTTGCTTCTTTGTCTTCACATTGGTGGTTTTGAAGAGTCCAGCCCAGTTGTTTTGCAGAATATTCCCCCATTTGGAATTATCTGATTGTTTCTTCACGTCTACTTTTTTTTTTTTTAATGTCTGGAAACTTTTCTACTTTTGTTTTTGAGACTGCCTACAACAGATTTGTAGAAAATGTAGAACTGTTTTTCTATGCTTTTTATCTTTTTTAGGCAGAGGAATATTTTGAGTGGAGCAAATTACCCTGTGGAATTACTTCCAGAAATAGAATTCCACTCCACATAATCAGTATTAAGCCATCCACCATGTGGTTTGGAGAAAGAAGCAGAAAAACAAATGTAATTGTGAGGTAAGAAAGCAATGTCATAGGTCTTCTGAGAGACACTTTGAGTAAATTGTCTGATTTAATTTAAGTGCAGTCTAGCCTAAGCCCAAGAATATAATTACATATTATAATTAATTTCTTAAATTTAAACTTTATTTAAACGGAGGGGATGCTGCTTCCAAACCAGTTACACACCCATCAGCTAGTGTATCCTGAGGTTCCCTCTGGGTAGGTTGGTGAGATGGTTGGAGACTGAAGGCATCTGAGTGCTTGGCTGAGAGTAAGAAACTGATGTCATACAGAACAGAACCCTTGGTGGAGTAGTAACCATAATGATCACAATATTTTAGCAACATTTCCTTAACTTTGGTTGTTTAGAATATCTGCAACAGGTCCTTCCCCCTCCTTCCCCTCCTCCCCCTCCTCCCCTCCCTCCCTTTCTTCCCTTCCTCCCTTTCTCCCCTCCCTCCCTTTCTCTCTTCCCTCCCCTCCCTGCCTCCTTCCCTCCCACCTGAGTGCTTGGCTAAGAGGAAGAAACTGATGTCAGAGAACAGAACCCTTGGTGGAGTAGAGGAGTGACTGTAATGATCTTAATATTTTAGCAACATTTCTTTAACTTTGGCTGTTCAGAATATCTGCAACAGGTTCCTTCCTCCCTCCCTCCCTCCCTCCCTCCCTTCTCTCTCTCTTTTTTTTTGGAGACAGAATCTCACTCTGTCATCCAGGCTGGAGTGAAGTGGTGTGATCTCAGCTCACTGCAGCCGCTGCCTCCCTGTTCAAGTGATTCTCCTGCCTCAACCTCACTAGTAGCTGGGATTACAGTCATGTGCTACCAGCATGCCCAGCTAACTTTTTGTATTTTCGGTAGAGACAAGAGCTTCACCATGTTGGCTAGGCTGGTCTCGAACTCCTGAGCTCAGGCAATCTGCGTGCCTCGGCCTCCCAAAGTGCTGGGATTATAGGCGTGAGCCACCACACGTGGTCTACAACACGTTTCCACTTCTGGAAAAAGTTCCCTGCTATCCCAAGAAGAAATTCCTGATTTAGGGTGATTTCAGGACACGTGCTGCTGAAGCAAGCCCATTAGGGCAGTTTCATGCTAGAATAGCCTAAATGAGAAGGGCCAGCTTCGCTTAGTTCTAGTTTTGCTCAGTGATCTTTTTATTTTGTGTTTTTATTTCCCTTTAGGACTGGAGAGAGTTCATACAGAGCTTGTTTTTCTTTTCACTCCTCCTACAGTGAGGTAAGAGGATCCCATGTACTCATAGCCCTTACTGCTCAGTGTTCTGCAGCCTTGGTAGTTGACAGTAGTCCCCTGACTCTCAGAAGCATCTCTGTTTCTACCTAAGTTTCATTTCCTTTTAGTTTTTTTTTTCCTAAATGCATTTGATCCTCATTATTCACGGATCTTTTTTTCCTTTTTTCTTTTTTGGTTGAGACAGTGTTTTACTCTGTTGCCCAGGTTGGGGTGCAGTGGTATGATCTTGGCTCACTGCAACCTCTGCCTCCTGGGTTCAGGTGATTCTCCTGCCTCAGCCTCCTGAGTAGCTGGGACTACTAGGTGCCCACCACTATGCCCAGCTAAAATTTTCGTATTTTTAGCAGAGACAGGGTTTTATCATGTTGACCAGGCTGGTTTTGAACTCCTGATGTCAGGTAACCTGCCTGCCTTGGCCTCACAAAGTGCTGGGTTACATGTGTAAGCCACTGTGCCTGGCCTCATGGATTCTATTTTTATGTGTTGGCCTACTCACTGAAACTGACCTGTAACTGCAGTATCAATATTTACAGTGCTTTTGTGATCATTCGTGGACTTGTGGAGAGTGGTGAAAAATTTGAGTCACCTGATGTGCACATTCTCAGCTCAGGTAGAACAAGGCAACGCTCTGCCTTCTTTCAGCTCTTATTCTGTCAACAAGTGTATCAGTCTGTTCTCCTGCTGCTCTAAGGACATGCCCGAGACTGGGTAATTTATAAAGGAAAGAGGTTAAATTGACTCACAGTTCTGCAGGGCCAGGGAGGCCTCAGGAAATTTACAATCATAGTAAACACATCCTTCTTCACTTGGTGGCAGCAAGAAGTGCAGAGTGAAGGTGGGGGAAAGCCCCTTATAAAACCATCCGATCTCATGGGAACTATCATTAGAACAGTATGGAGGTAGCCACCCCCATGATTCAATTGCCTCCCCCCCACTGGTCCGTCCCACAACACATGGGGATGGAAACTACAGTTCGAGATGAGATTTGGATAAGTACACGGCCAAACCATATCAAAAGTGTCCTTTTTGCCATCTATTCAGTGCCATGTTTTTCATGTTTTGGTGTTTTTTGTTGGTGATCTTATTTAAAGTGGTGACCAATCATAGTACTGAAGTCCTATCCAGTGTTCCTAAGCACGGGAAGACTGTAACATGGCTTCTAGAGAAAATATGTATGTTAGATAGGAATGAGTTATAGGGCTATTGGCCATGAGTTCAGTGTTAATGAATCAAAGTATCTATTAAATGAAGTGTCTTTCAACAGAAACACACATAAAACAAGCTTATATATTAACTGGCTGATGAAAACGATGTCACCAAAGGATGGCAGGAACCCCTAGCAGCAGTGGTTCAGTATTTGCTAATTCAGCATTTATGGTGACTTTATAGAATATAACTACTGCAAAGAAAGAGAATTGGGTGTATTGATGCCTTATTTTAAGGCAGGCATTTGATAAAAGGGAGTCAACTTGTATAAGTGAGAGGGGGTGCTCCTTTATTGGGTGTCTCTTATCTCCTTGGGGCCACTTCATCTCTGAGAATTAGTAGTGAACCATTTCTGGTAAAGGCTTGATTTTAATTTTTTTTTTTTTTTTGTCCTTTATTCCCTTCAAAAGTCTCTGATTTCTACCAGCCTCAACTTCGTGCAAATCAAATAGGTGTTGGGCGGGCAGGTAATGCTTTCTATTTGCATGCCTACTGTGAAGGTACAAAAGATACTGTTTGTGAAAAATATCTAAAGAACAGATCTTCCTGCCTTTCCCCTGTCTTAAAGTAGCCCTTTTATTTTTATGTGGAGTTATTGGCAGTTCTTGGGTTCCTGCCTCTTTCAATTTGGTGGTATATTAATAATTACATTGGGTTCTAGTCTGTCCACTTCCAGAAGGGCATAAAAGTCTTTGTCATTATCAACTTAGTAATGGATGATTTTATTTTTTTCAACAGGTACCAAGCTAAGCACTTTACATGCATAATCTCATTTATACTTTTAAATGAAGAATCTAAAATTAGAACCATTAGGTAACTTGACTGAGATCACAAGCTCACCAAGGTCTAATAAGAGACAAAGCTGAAGTTCCTCTAGGTTGTAGAGATGTTTTGAAGAATAGTGACAGAATTCCTCTGTTTAGCATTCTGAACTTTGCAAAAAATCAAGGTATTCATGAAGTTTTTGCATGTAATTGTTTGTTTAGAATTAATCATTGGGATAGGCAGTCTATGTGCACAGTCTTTCAACCCTCACTGGCCACGTAAGAATGGAACACTTCCTTATTGAGAAAGGGGGAGAGGGAGAAAGGAGCGCTCGCGACAGCGTGAGCACACAGCCTGCGGTAGCTCAGTGCCTTGTGTGGAAACATCTTTCTCTGCTTTGTACTTGATGTGTGTCTCTTTGTTCTACTTAAGCCTGTGTGTCAATGGCCCTTAGGCACACCCCAGCTGTCCTTATTTCAGACAGCATGATGGGGGTTCCTTCCTGTGTGGCAGGAGAGGGTTGCATGTAGGCAGGTAGTCCTGTGTTGGCTGCAGGGAGAGACATGCTGGTCACTGGGGACCAGTGCACATTGTTGGACTTGATCTTGCTTGGTCCGTTCTCAGTAAGTGAGGCATTGCTCCATCCAGTGCTTGACTGCATTGTGTTTTCCTTGGTGACTCTGACACCAAGATACAATGGGCAGTGTTTGGTTCTTTCCTTGGAATCAGTGACCAATGCATGGTGTTCTGCCCAATGAGAACGAACCATTTGAACAAATCAAGTAACCTCAAAGGTGTAATACTCTTGGCATCGTTAATGATTATTTGTAGAAGTAAATAAGTGCAATTCTTTTGTTGTTCGTTGTTAGAGATGGGGTCTCTCTGTGTTGCCCAGGCTGGCCTCAAATCCCTGGGCTTAAGCAATCCTCCTGCCTCAGCCTTGAGTAGCTGGTACCACAGACATGTACCGCTGTGCCCAGCTAAGAAATGCAATTCTAAGACCTTGTTTTGTGTGTGTGTGTGTATATTATACTTAATGCCCAGATAAATTCTCATTTGAAAGGGGATTTGTTAAACATAAGCAACTGACCTTCTTGGACAAGGAAAGCAATATATTAAAAAAAAAAAAAAAAATCTTTGAGTCCCATTAGTGATTCTCAGCTCTTACTGTGGATCAAAATGACCTGGGGAACATTTAAATGTACTGATTTCTAGGCTCACTAGTACTCAGTGTTCAGGAGATGTTTGGGAGTGAGGCCTGGGTATTGGATTTTTTTTTCCCCAAGAGGTCCCTGGTCATCCCCACGTGCAGCCAGCATTGAGAACCACAACCATAAGAGAGTTCTGCTTCTCCTTCCCCAGCTTCCCTTTATCTCCCCTAACAACTTGTTTTATTGTAGAGATCGTTGATCCATGTGATTTTCCTTTTTCTAGATTAAAGATTTCTTGAGCTACGTCTGTCCTGTGAACGCATATCCAAATGTCATTCCAGTTGGCACAACTATGGATAAAGTTGTCGAAATGTGAGTAGTCATTGGTTGTGGGACTTGGTGTCTGTCTCCCTTTGTGGCTCTTGGCTAGGACACAAAGGAGAGTTTGTCTGAATGTTTACAAATCTAGAATCTGTTTCTGTTGCGACATTTCTGAACTGATATTCATTTCCATTTCTTCCTATGGTGTTTCCTTTAGTTCAACAATGTGGCAGAAGGTATAGGTAGTGTCGGCTTCTCCTGGGTTGCAACCCAGCTCCACCATTAATTAACAGTGCAGTGTCAGCTTGGCCAGATCACTTCACCGAGCTAGTCATTCTGAATCAGCAAAATGGGAATATTGATGCCTACTTGTTGGGCTTCTCAAAAAAGAAAGAGATAATATAGGGAGATAGTATAAGAAAAGCACCTAGCACCATGCCAGGTAGGTCGTCAAGTGTCTGCTGAATGGATAACTGAAGCCAAAGGAGAGGTGCAATAGTATTCACGGATGTCTTTTACTACAGTATTACCATTTTCTTACCTCTTCTTTGGGTTTCATTTATGCATTCATTAATGATTTATTTATTTAATTTTTTTTTTGAGACAGGGTCTCACGCTGTCACCAAGGCTGGAGTGCAGTGGCGTGACCTCGGCTCACTGCAATCTCCACCTCCTGGGTTCAAGCGATTCTCCTGCCTCAGCCTCCCGAGTA